GTGTAGCTACGTTTCCAGACACACCTGTTATTCCAGCCACCCCTGTTATTCCAGCTACCTCTGTTATTCTAACCTCCCATCTATTTGAAACACACGTGTGTAGCTACGTTTCCAGCCACCCCTGTTATTGCAACCACCCTCTTGTTCCAGCCACCTCTGTTATTCCAACCTCCCATCTATTTGAAACACACGTGTGTAGCTACGTTTCCAGACACCCCTGTTATTCCAGCCACCCCTGTTATTCCAGCCACCCCTGTTATTCCAGCCACCTCTGTTATTCCAACCTCCCATCTATTTGAAACACACGTGTGTAGCTACGTTTCCAGACACCCCTGTTATTCCAGCCACCTCTGTTATTCCAACCTCCCATCTATTTGAAACACACGTGTGTAGCTACTTTTCCAGCCACCCCTGTTATTGCAACCACCCTCTTGTTCCAGCCACCTCTGTTATTCCAGCCACCTCTGTTATTCCAACCTCCCATCTATTTGAAACACACGTGTGTAGCTACGTTTCCAGCCACCCCTGTTATTGCAATCACCCTGCTATTCCAGCCACCTCTGTTATTCCAGCCACATCTGTTATTCCAACCTCCTATCTATTTGAAACACACGTGTGTAGCTACGTTTCCAGCCACCCCTGTTATTGCAACCACCCCTGTTATTCCAGCCACCTCTGTTATTCCAACTAGACGTCTATTTGAAACTCACGTGTGTGTGGCTACATTTCCTAAAGACGTCATCGTCTGACTGTCGACCATACACAAGCTTTCCGCTTAAAGTGCTTTGTCTCCACTAATAAACAATATTGCTCAGATACAGTTTTATGCCGATTTTATTTGCAATGTCTCGTTTCTAATCATGCTGGATTTTCTTTAAATATCCCCGGAGGACAGAAGCGCAAGTATTTTGTCAGTTGACATGCAACGCTAAATATTTGGGAACTGAATTATCTAAAGTAATATTGACAATGGGTAGCCACTCGATTTAATTACGCTAGATTTCTATTCTGATACTATTTTTTCTTGGCAGACGAAGAAATGCGATAAGCAATTCCTCAAAATGTGATCGAGACTGGAAGCCTCGCGTAGGAAACGAAAATGTCTTCGTGAACTACGCTAAATGCTATATTTCTGCAGGAAAAAATTTTATTGGAAATTTTATATATAAAACTCAGTGAAATATGTTCCAGTTTTTAATTAATTAAAAAAGAGTAGTTTATGGATTCGTCATCAGTTCTGTTCATCAAGGATTAAGCTCTAACATTTGAGAAAAATAAGTGAAAAGGATTTATATATATAGTATGTGCAAAAATTCAGAGGGATACCCTAAGTTTCTTTAAAAAAAGTAATTAAAATGAGTGATAATTTTCTATTTTTAAAAGTAAGATTACAGTAACTACAGTGTATTTACTTTTATTTCAACAAAAATAAGCACTTAATAATGAAAAAAATATCATACAACAGTATCATATTTTATTATCATCAATAAAATGATCACCTGGCTTAATTACTGCTTTATAAATCTTGGCATATTTTTCAACATTTTTGAAAAGAGTAGATGGTAGAACTTCCCAATTTCTTCAAGAAATGAAAAAGCTAACTCTTTGGGTATTCTCTTCGATATATATATATATATATATATATATATATATATATATATATATATGAAATACAGTACGACTCGGAGTTTTATGAAGTCGTACAATCAACGTAGGGTATTAGATATATTTATTAATATATACTTAAGAGCGCTGTTATTTTGCATTGATCACTGTTTTATTTAAACATAAAGATATATATATATATATATATATATATATATATATATGTGTGTGTGTGTGTGTGTGTGTGTGTGTGTGTGTGTGTGTGTGTGTGTAAAAGATAGTTTTTCCATTTTATTAATTCATATTATATATATATATATATATATATATATAAGAAGCATACATTTTTCCTTCTGCCACCTTTCAACTTTAATACGAAAATCTGAACATTGGATTTTGGTAACAGAATTTATGCATGTTAGCAAATGAGGCAGCTCTGGATGCGAGCTACTCATTGGAGACGTCAAAACCAACCACGTACAGTTAGTATGGGAAATATGACACAGAATTCTGAAGGAGAATTTGAAATGCTTTCAAAAAACTAAACAAATTGTTAAGAAACAGGAAAATATTGTTAGAAACAAAGAAAACAGTCCTGAAATACTATGTACTATTAATCTTCCCATATGGCATTGAATGCTGGACAATTTCATTGCCGATGAGGAGGTGATTTGAGGCAAGAGAAATGTGGTTCTCACAGAAATATAGTCAGAATATCATTCATTGAACATGTGAGTAACGAGGAAGTTTTAAAGAAAATGTGAATGAAAAGGACATTTTTTTAGGATAAGAAAGACACAATTAAAATTCCGTGGACGCTTAATTAGAAAAGACGGCGTGCAGAAATTAACACTCACAGGACAAAGAGAAATAGTGAAGCGCATACCTAAGAAGCTGATGTCATTGGACAGCATAAGGACGGATGGGAGATATTACGAGGACAATCATTGCTAAGAGCTTACAAAGAAGAGGAAGTTGTGGAGAGCCATGAATCATTACGTCCTGAAGGAACGCGGCACAGAAAATGAAATTCATATATTTGCTCTACTATTCCGCAAATGTATAAAAGAGTCTTGAGGGTATATTTCATTTCTTTTTTTTTATACTAATGTTAATCCAATACAAGGCCAAAGAGCCACTCAGGGTAGCCGGTTAGTGTGTGGCGTTGTATGAGCGAAATAGAAGGCAGAAAGTGGTGTTCATGTGGTTAAGTAGAAAAGGTAATAGTTAACCCGAAACTTGAGGAGTTCAAGATTGTAGTGATCGGGAAAACATTCTGTTGGGAGTCTGCTCCACAAAGCAACAGCTCTTGAAAAAGAAGTGGAACTTACAAATGGAATACAAAGGGAATGTACCGGTCCCAGATGCAGTGGTCAGAACTGGTGGGACCAAGGAATGTAGTCGAACACTCGCCACGGAAATATTAGTAGGTATGGATCGGCTGGATAGGACATACTGACCAGTAGACGCATGTACCAGAATACAACAAATTGTCTACCTACATTTATATTTTGGTCAGCCTATGACCTTTTAAGCCGATTGTCATATGTATATTTAAATATCTGTTCATATTTTTGAGATCGGATTTATTTACATTGTTCGGACTGTTGTCTTCACCTTTGTTGCCAATTTCACGACGTTTCGACCGTTGTACTCTCCGGCCTTCTTCAGGTGGCTGACATTTCGACCGAATCCTATTTTGTCCACCTAGGTAAATTGTTCTAGTTCCATATGCCATGTCTCTTCTGGATATCTCAATATCAGTTGCTTCCCTTTAACACAACTCTCCAAATTATTTTCACCTCTACTGTAGCCAGGTATTGAACTCACAAAATTTTCGGTCAAGTCTGGATTACTTCCACCAACGCTTTTATCCACCCAGCCACTTGAGGACATCAGTGTATTAATTTTTAGTACTTATAAACTTAATCTCTCAGTAACAGTTTTACCAGAACTCATATTACAATTTGTTATTTTTTTCTCTAACCTTCCGTATTACTAGTCCCCATATTGTATTCATGTCTATGTTTGGCCGGCTTTGGAGATTTTGGTATGCCTAGCTGTGTGCTGATTCTTAACGTTTTCGCAGTTTCCAGTGATGTTCTATATTATTTCAATCTCATCCCACAGAGGGTTGTGATCTCCATTTCCCCTCCATATACGGTCAGCCACGGCTTTACGGTGTTCCTGCAGTCACCTGAAGAAGGTTGGATCGTACAACGGCCGAAACATCGTAAATATGACAACAAAGATGAGAAAAACAGACCGAACAATGTAAATAGTGTAAATAGTATATTTAATAATTGTGTATTTTGGTAGCAACCCCTCTCTTATACAAGTTTTATTGAAGATAACAGATAAACTACTGCGATTAACCTTTTTGTTCAATTATCTTTAATTTTCTTTTCCAGACATAAAATGTGTAAAAAAAAACTCTCCAAATATATCCGTCATTATATATATATATATATATATATAATAGACAGAAAGTTATTGATTCGTTTTCTATAGCATTTGCAGGTTATATAAAGTCAGGAAATATTTTTAGACTGTAAGAATTTTTGGCTCGACGTTGCTTAACTTCAGTGATCGTACGGGAACCAGTGATGTGGCCGTAAGTCGTTCAGACGGCCAGCACATATAAGCTTACAGCATCCTGGTATTCTCATACGGTCACCCCTCTAGGTACTGACCAGGCACGACGTTGCTTAACTTCGATGATCGTACTATGCTTCAACGTGATGTGGCCGTAAGCTGATAGATAGTTATGCATATGTAAATATTTTAAAGACGTTTCACTTATATTTGATTTTTTTCTTTTACCGCGCAAGCTCCTTCAGAGCAAGTATTACGAAAATATTATTCGTTTCTGTTGGCAAGGATTTAGCAAATTTGTCTAAGCTGACAGCCATCAAGAGTTTGCCAGAAAGTCGTTGGTCTATTGATACGGATGCCCTTGTTATAAACTTATCAATATTTTTACTAAATCCAGTAATGAAACTGTACAGCTCCGGCAGAACGACAAGAAAAAATAGAAAAATATATCCGATAAAAAATCCATATAATGGGATATTTACGTCAGCCATGATTCCTCATACGGTAATCTTTATCCGACCCGCCAGCATTCGGCTTCTATATTTATAGGATTGATTTCGATATTTATTAGACGTGTTCTCTCTGCAGTCGAATCGAAGGGGAATGCAAAGGAGGTATACTTTGTATTTCTTGATGTGAAGAGCTTCTGACTACAGAGAGATATTAGTTTTTTTTTCTTCTTATTTCTTTTCGGTCTTTATTCGTGAAGAGATTTTAGAGAGACGGGTATTAATGCGAGTCAAAGTGCATTGTGAGTGGAGAGCAGTGGTATTAAGAGAAAAAAATAAGACAGAAAGATCTCATAAGTATAATACGATTTTGGCTTGGTGTGGGCGAGGGTTAAAATACAGGAAATTCGCATAGATAGATAGATAATAAGTGATAGACAGATAGATAGATAGATAGATAGATAGATAGATAGATAGGTGAATGATAGATAATGATAGATAGATAGATAGATAGATAGATAGATAGATAGATAGGTGAATGATAGATAATGAATGAATAGTAGATAGATAGATAGATAGATAGATAGGTGAATGATAGATAATGAATGAATAGATAGATAGATAGATAGATAGATAGATAGATAATGAATGAATAATAGATAGATAGATAGATAGATAGATAGGTGAATGATAGATTGGTAATGAATGAATAATAGATAGATAGATAGATAGATAGATACTAAGTGAATGATAGATAAGTGAATGATAGATAATGAATGAATAGATAGATAGATAGATAGATAGGTGAATGATAGATTGATAATGAATGAATAGTAGATAGATAGATAGATAGATAGATACTAGAAGTGAATGACAGATGGATAGATAGATACATAGATAGGTAATGAATGAATGATAGGTAGATACTAATGATAGATAGATAGATAGATTGATACTAAATGGGTGATAGATTACACATACACACATATATATATATATATATATATATATATATATATATATATATATATATATATATATATATAATACATAAAAGGTTAATGGCCAAAGTTGAATTAGGCCAGGAAACAGTAGTATTAAAAAGTGTTCAATACACGTGTCAAAAAAAATAAAAGTACAAATAACATGTAGAGCTTTTAACTTTAAAAATCAGGAGATCGGTTGAATCCACTAACTTGATTTTAACCTTACGGTATCCTCAGGCAATTTTTATCAAATCGGATCCAAAGAACCTTTTGAACCAGAAATCTAAAATCTTGTGTCCATGTATACATATTAAGAAATCCCTCTTAAGAACATATGAGGCTGGATAAAAAAAAATAATATTTCACTTACCTCCACCAACGATACATTTATAATAGCCTTGCTTTTCTTCTCTTCCCCCTTTCTTTTTCTCCTCCCTCTTCACATCCTCCTCCTCCCTTTCTATTTCATCCAACATCGTACGTTTGTTTATTTTTTTAAATAATATAGCGTGCATTATTTAAAAAAATAAAAACAAATAAAGTGTTAAGAAATAATTTAATAAAAATCGCCTGAGGATACCGTAATGATAAAACCAAGGTAAGCGGATTCAATTGACCTTCCTGTACATATATATATATCTATAAAAGGCAGGATGTGTGTGTGTGCGTGTGTGTGTGTGTGTGTGTGTGTGTGTGTAACGAATGCACGACCGCAATTTTCGACGGATTTGCACCAAAATTTACATGCACATGCTCCAAGTTAGCGGGAAGTCCAAGGCCGACTTTGCATTTCTCAACTCCCATCGATAGTGGAAATAATCGATTTTTTCATGCTTCTACGGCAGTTGTCATGTAGTTTGCGGCCATTTTCTAATGGCCAGAGTGGGAGCCTATAGCTGGCTGCCACGAATAGGCAGGAAGATTCTATTAGCCAGCGTTAAAGCCAACAGCTGAGTGACACGAATGTTAACTAGCATGCTAGCATGCAAAAAAAAAATCGATAGCTGTATTCGTCACAAGTGGGAAAAATTTAAATCTGCATGGCACTTTGATCCAATTGGTTCATTCGCTTGCTTAAACTCAACATTGATTCTGATTCCGCAGAACTGGTTTGGGTGTGAAAAAGTATTTGTTGTTAACATTCTTTTTTCATTCGTTTTTTTCTAGTTACAAGTCCTTTTTTAAAGCTGATCGTTTTGTGTTCATTTTGTTTAGTTCTTTTTTCGTAACAGATTTAATGTTTAGTATAGAGCTTAGAAAAAATTTGCAATGTGAGATAGGCAAGAAGTATGGCATGTAGCAACATCAGCATGGCAAAGGGAACTCCTTTAAAGGCAAGGAAGGGCAAAAAATATTTCAAGTCAAGTGATAGCGATTGCTGTATGAGTCGTACGATTTTTTAATCAAGCACGGGCAACGCCGGGCCATGCTGCTAGTATATATATATATATATATATATATATATATGAGGCGGAGTGAATCGCGTCATGGTGCTCTTTTTCTCACAAATGGTAACCAACTAACCATAATATACTGTGCAGTCGACAAAATAAAAACAAGCAACATGCATGAAGGAAATATAAAATCTCTAAAATTTACCCATCGCACCCTATATATATATATTTTCTATATATATTTATTTTTAAAAATATTACAATTTTTTTTTAATTTTAAATATAAAATGGTGGCAAATTACCCACTCCACCAAAAATTTGGAAACGGAATACTGTACTGCTTGGCATTCGCACTTGAAGCCCCAATACGAACATTTCAAAGTGTTTGGATGTCGACCTGAGGACAGCGTAGATAATTTCGAAAGTGTTATGAGGGCCTCATAGTCAACCCGGAGACCTACATCTAGTGCCTTGAGTAGGTAGTGTTGTTGGAAGACCCCATGTCTGGCAACAGGACTGTACACCATGCCTCACAAGAATGAGAAACCACCTAACTCTACTACTTTTTAATTTTACTTAATTTTACTCTCTGTAAGACCTTGCGTGCTTGTGGCACTCCCGCCTTGATTGGGTCGATTTGCTCCCCCCGCCACCAAAAAAAAATCGAGTATATGGGATTTAGATAGATGGATATATAAATATATAGATACCAGGTGTGTATATACACACGCACACGCACACACAGACACACATTATATATATATATATATATATATATATATATATATATATATATATATATATATGAAGAAAAATTTGGAAAAAACAAACAAAAATCCTTAAATGCAATTATGTTGTTTAAAATGAATGAAATGTCGACGTCTGACGTTTCGGTTTAATAAACCTTCTTCAGGACAATATTCATTAAAATACAATTCAGTTCAATTTGACAAAGACGATGGACATAAAAAAACAAGTCTTATCCAAACAGATAACTGAAATTTTTTGGATAAGACTTGTTTTTTAGACACATATTAGAAGACGTCTCTTTTTTTCTTCTTGAAGGGGTTAATTTACGTCTACGGGCCTATGTATTCCAGAGTTTTTAATAGAAATAATGTGATCTTCGGATGGGGTAAACGTGTGTCTCCCGAAGGGCAGTTTTTAATTATTTATTTTAGACTTTCCCCCCCAAAACATCTATCCTTCGAATATAACGTTTGTAGTAAAAAGAAATAATGTCGGACTACAAATATAAGTCTATAAATTCCTTAAGTAGGACACACACACACACACACACACACACACACACACGCACACACACATATATATATATATAGCTATATATATATATAGCTATATATTTGTGTGTGTGTGTGTTTGTGTGTGTGTGTCTGCGTGTGTGTTTGAAAATGATGGTAGATAGATATATAAAGAGAAATAGATACAGGTGCTTGCAGTGAGATAGATGGACAATAGTGTTCTTAGTATATATATATATATATATATATATATATATATATATAGAGAGAGAGAGAGAGAGAGAGAGAGAGAAAGAAAGAAAGAAAGAAAGTGAGTGAGTGATGAGAGATATGCATCAGCCGGACTAGATAAATAGATATTTATTGAGTCTGACATCTTCTTGCACAGGGAATAGTAATACTTTGCAGGCCCAATTATCTACGTGGAATATCTTTCTTTTGACTATACAGAAGATCATTCGGGCACAGGCCATTGGTGCAGAAAGAAAAATGCAATTATTCTAGCAACCAAAACAGAGATAGTGTGTGTGTGAATGATAGAGAGGGGGGTGAGGGAGAGGGGAGAGAGGGAGAAGGTGGATGTTAAAAAGTAGATATATCTCTACGAATATGCATCAAGAAAAAGGGGGAAGGTTTGGATAAGTTACTAGTACGGACTATTTCTAGAAGAGATAATTCAATGCTCATGTGGTGAATTTCAGATGTCGGCCCGTCTGGAAATCAGACTTAGAAACTCGACTTTTGGAGCAGAGTAAAACTCACAAACAACTTTTTCTTGCTCTTCATGGTGCTGAAGGTCTTCTTCTTCTTCTTCTTCTTCTTCTTCTTCTTCTTCTTATTATTATTATTATTATTATTATTATTATTGAGTAAGGGAGCAGCAGCATGCCAATAAAATGGCGCATGGTTAAAAATATACGAAAACCAATATATCTGACGAAATTTGAAGACTGGATCAGTTGAAATATTGTTAGCAACGCCAGTTTCACAAAAAAAGGTGTTCAAATGTACGAAAAAAATCAGATACCTTATTACGCTCCCCCCTCTCTCTCTATGGAAAGACAGACAGAGATACACACACACATAAACACACACACACACACATATATATATATATTGTATTTAGGCAGCAATCCTTCATTTATACATGTTTCATTAAAGACGACTGACAAGGTACTGCGATTAAGCTTTTTATTTAATGTTTCTAGTGTTCGAACAAGTATTTTCTTTTCTGGATACAGAGTCTATAGAAAATGTTTAAATGTTCTATACTTCCGAGCACTTTCTGCAATACATTTATCCATTATCAAGCATGATTTTATTTTTTGATTTTTAATTGGATGTATGGGTTGTGTGTGTGTGTGTTTCTAGAGTTATAGTTATGTTTTATTATCTGAACACAGTTAGTACATTGTGGCCGTGTTCGTAGTTAATGTTATTGAGTTTTGGCTTTTTTCTTTTTCTTATTAAGGCTTCTATTATTTTTAATCTTTTTTTACAAGTGGATGTGGTTATTATGTTTGTATTTTCTACTAGTATGTTTCGGATGGAGTCTGGTAAGTTTGTGTGTGTGTTTAAATGGGTTCTAATGGAGCTCTGGTCAGATAGGTGTAACGTAAGGCGTCTGGATAGGCATACAGTTGTGTGACCGATGTAATTATTTATGAATTCGCTTTGATCAGCAACACAGTTCCTTAAGGGGCATTTGAACTCGTAAATAACACTAATATATTCATTTCAAAAAAAACGTTCCAAAATCAACATGCGAAAAACCATCAAACATAATGTCTACTAGATACATACACACACACACACACACACACACACACACACACACACACACACACACTTACGAATATACATTATCATCATCTGAATCCCTTATAGACAAACTAGAATTATTATACACTGACATACATAACATTTTTCCATTAAGCTTGGAATCCGTTAAATTCTTGGAATTTCGAATGAACGCGTCGTCTCTCCTTGAATTCGAAATGCCACAAATTTATTTTTTCGGTTTAATTGAGTGTGTGACGTTATGTGTATGTCTTTAGTGTTATAGAGATGTTTTATTTTCCGAACACGGTTAACACATTGTGGCCTTGTTCGTAGTTACTATTGTTAAGACTTGGCTTTTTCTTTTTTATTATTAGGGCTTCCATTATTTTTAATCTTTTTTAACAAGTGGATGAGGTTATTATGTTTGTGTTTTCTACTAGTATGTTTCGAATGGAGTCTGGTAGGTTTGTTTGTGTGTGTGTGTGTGTGTGTTTAAATGGGTTACAATGGAGTTCTGGTTAGATAGGTGTAACGTAAGGCGTCTGGATAAGCATGTAGTCGTGTGACCGATGTAATTATTTATGTATTCGGTTTCATCAGGAACGCAGTTCCTTAAGGGGCATTTGAACTCATAAACAATGTTCGTTCGTTGTAATTTTGATTCAGCTGCTGTGTTGTTGTTTTTGAGGATGAGGTTAGCTGTTTTAAATTTTTTGTTGTAGATAATTTATTTGATTTTTTGTTCGGGTCAATAATATTAACTACGAACACGGCCACAATGTGCTAACATGTTTGCACCATAACAATATTAGCAAGTTTTTGCGTTTATGACTTTTCTATTCCTGATAAAAACATTAGAATATTTATGGTGGCAATAGAACATTGTTTATAAGCTTGAATATAATTCTCGCAGTTGTATAATAATACAATAAACCCACCCAAACACACCCTTATATAACACTAGCAGTAGAGCCCGGCGTTGCCCGGGGATGTAACAGTAAGAGATAGATCAAGTATCGACCATCATAAAGACTGAAAAATAAAATTGACAAAAATTATTGTTTAAGGTTGACGGACACGCATGTCTTAATTAGTTTTTTTTTTTTTTTTTTTACGAATTGGTCAAACCCAAATTCAAACGAAAACATTGTTTACAATCGTTATGATTTATGGAAATAATACAGTAATTCCATCTACGTTTTACGCGCGCGCGAGTTTTCCTCACTTCCACACTTGTGCGTGTGTGCGCGCGCGTCCACTGATTACACCCCTTCCTTTCTCGTTAAGCTAAATATAGTAGTAAACCTTTTCTTTAGTTATTTAAAACTAATTACAAGTTATTGTCGTTTTATCAGCTCCTGCTGATGTCACCAATCTAACAAATTTAAATTACCGTTTTTCCCGCGTTTTTCTCTGACGTCACGGACAAACTAATCGTTTGAGTTCAGTCAGACTAAAAATTTCGATCCATGAAGTTGACTCATTTATTCCTCGTCAGTCAACCTTAAATACAGACAGGGATATCTTACTGACAACAAATAATTCTTCATCCCTTTTGGCTCGTCGCAAATAATTTTCTTCAAGACGATGCAACCAACAACAAATAAGTCTTCGTCCCTTTTGGCTCGTCGTAAATAATTTTTAGCAGCAAATTCAATGCCTGATCCCAATATCTGAGATGACTGAACTTTCTCACGACCGTGAATCTGAACAAAAAGGGTATAAAAAACAAAAACAACACAAAAAACACTACACACACTTACAATACCCAAATCCACAGTAAGTACTTTTTTTTATCTGTGCACATCTACACCTCGTGTTAACCAGTTCCTTTTTCAAGAACTTAAAAAAAAAAAAAAAACTTTTTTCCGCCTTGTTCACCTTGCTATCCTAAAAAAAAAAGTGAAGTTTTTGTTGAAATCGGTTGAAAAATGTACATAGCCTTTCTCTGTAATCTTTTTACAATTTATGATTTTTACTTATTGAATACAAAAAAAAAATTGCATATTTTGCTTGTGGTGATTCATAATTAGAATTCTGATTTGAATATATTTTCCACTCGTTGTTTCTAATACAAAAAATATTAACTTTATTTGGGTTTATTAATTTATTACAAGTACTGTGTTCTTTCCTTAATAATTATCATCTTCGAAATATTGTTGTTTTTTGTCTATCAGATTTCTTACGTCGGCATTTTTAAATTATTTCTTAATACTTTCTTTTAAATATTGAATTAATTTCAAATAGAACCAATGCCTTATTGATCTGCCTTGTAACAAATTGCAAAGGGAATTGTAAAACGGCCCTAAAGTACGTGGAATTATCTTTCCCTATTTTATCAAATCGAAAAAAATGATTGATTATCTGTCCTTTTTTTTGACCAAAAAAAAAAACAATATTTTTAACGAAAATTTCAGACGTGCTAAGAACGATTAAAAAATGTAAAAAAAAAATACCCCCAAAATACTTTGATCTTTCCTCTTTAATAATAATATGAACATTAGAAGATAAAAGTTCGGCTTTTTTTTCATCATGCGATGCTCTTTTGTTTACATTTTCGTGGGTGAGTTGTCCCCCTTTCATTCTCACGATGTGTCTTAATCGTGTTTTCAAATTGATTTTGTTTAGCAAAACAATGTGTTTTTCCCATTTTCGGCGCCGTGAGAACCACCACAAGGTAATTTTATGTAGTCCTGTGAAGTTTTGTTGAAATCGGCTAAAAAAATGTAGGAAATTCGATCCAATATATAAACGTTACACACACACACACACACACACACACACACACACACACACACACAATCTGCGTTTTATAATAAGTAAGATGAAATCTGGTACCTCTTCTCGAAATACAAATTACTGTTGGCCTAGCAGATTCAGAAGCAAGTTTAGTTTTCACTGTTTCTACCAGATTTACACTTTTTTATCAGACCAAACTTAACTGCATAAATACATCTAGTTACTCTAGCAAACTAGTTCTACTATGCAATGGTTATTTATTTATATTCTTTATAGTTGGACTAATGTCTTCATTTTTGTGTTACTCGCCGAGTCGAGCCTAACCCAGAGAACATAATAAAGAACTGTACCTATTAAATTTCCTGCAAATATGGCGACGAATACAAAGTTAAGCTCAGACAAGCTCTAAAAATAACTCTAGCCTAACATCGAAAATCTGTAATGAGACGTTGAAATCATGCATGGTAGATCATGTATGGAGATAGAAGTGTAGTCACTAACCACTATGCAACCAATGAAAACTTTTAGACAAAGAAAAACACTGGATAATAAGTCTTCTGAAAGAAGCAGTGCATATGTTCACTATGACGCACTCCTCGGTAGGCTTATAGTAAAAATAAATACCATATAGGAGCCGTTAATAAAAGAGCGTGAATGTGCGTGTGTATGTGTGTGTGTGTGTGTGTGAGAGAGAGAGAGAGAGAGAGAGAGAATCCCGAAAGCAAAGCTTCAGTAACAACAGTTAAAAATTTCAAGCGTAAATGTAAGGCAGCAGATGGGGCTGCAGCAGGCAGGCAATTAAATTATTAGGTTCATGGTTCCCAATTTTATATTCGAGACTGTCTCATGGGACAATAGCATAGAAGATTACAACGTTGGTTCACAAACATTATATATAATTGTTGTGGTGTCCTCCCTCTAAAGAGTCTATGTTGAA